GTAACTTGGATGGATTCGATGCCTGCGTGACCACAGTGCACACGTCTGCTGTTGCTCACAGTGGTCCAAGTGTCCGCTCAGGGAGTTTGTGTGTTCAGGGATCCCTGAAACCCTCCACCAGCCCTACTGCAGAACTAAAAGCAAACTAGGATACATTTATAGGAAGTAAATAAGGTACTTTAACTAATAACTAAAAAATAACAAACTGCTGCACAATAATTGAGAGAAAACACATCCCAAATGACAAAAAACTTTCAACAATGAATACAACAAAACAGACTAAACACAGGGGGAAAAAGGAGACTAACACTGAATTTGATCAGCCATTAACAAGAGAGGGAAGAGAAAGGCAACAGGGAGGAAACAGAAAGCCACACGAGGTTTTAAACCTTCAAAATAAAACAGGAAGTAAACCAAAGTAATACAGGCAACATGAAGACACAAGCACTTCACTTGTACTGATGGTTTGTGAAAAACTTTCATGTGTTTTTGTTGAAGAATAAATGAAAAAGATGAATCGACTTCTCTGTGTGTTGTGTTCACTGTACTGGATAGTGTTGTAACTGTGTGTTTTCGTCTCCTTCAGGTTGGTGTGGTGTAAGGATTGCGAGACAGCTGGCTCTTTGATGACCTTCTTCTTGGTCCTGGGTTTGGCTGTGGGAGCATCGTTCTCATTCCTACTAGGAAAACTGGTTTAAAGGTAGTAGGAAAACTGTATATCTGACATTTGATGACATGTTGTTATGAAAAGTGTAAAAGCACTTGAAGCTTATCCTGTTCTTAGTTATATCTTATATCTTATATGAGACACAACGACAACTCTATATAAAGTACTGAGCTGTCCACTTGTTGCACTGGCATTTTAAAGTAAGCCATGCAGGATTTCTAAATGAATGTTTTACTCTTTGTAAGACAGAGTAAGTATTTCAGTCTCAGGTAGGTGCTGGCATTATTTTACGTGATTTGTGCCACGTTGAATACTTCATTGGAAAGGGCAATTCATTTGAGAGACATTGATCAATGCAGCTAAAATAAATCATTTCTCTCTTGTTGTTTTTTTTAAAATATTAATTAATGTGACCTTTTATATCTTTGCTTTACACGACTGTATTTATCTCTCAGTTTTTGAGTGTTTTTTAAAAATATTAATGTTTTTTACCTGAAGACAGTTTAAAAAAAATACTTAAATTAAATGAACTATAAACTTTTTCACTGCTTATTTCTGTTTTTGTAATTTTTATACGTTGCAATAAATGTTTTTTTATGTATGTTCAAACTTTTAATAAAGGCTTGTTCAAAATGGTTTCCCATTCTTGCTTTATGTCACAGTTTTTACAAATTGATATATTTGCCTTTGTATCAAAATGTTAAAGTATCAGTGAGTCCAGTTTTTGTATATTTGCATGACCTGGCAGTTCAGTACATCCCATCCTGCCTTAGTGGTGTTAGTCATAGTTGGGGCATTACTCTGTCAATTACTCTGATTACAGGCCTCATCCAACTTATCTGATCCAACCTGTCTAAATGGATGGATGGGTGGAATTTTTTAAATAGGGAAATTTTATAAAAAACGTACTGGCGTAGGGAACCACGGTGGTGAGGTGGTTAGCACTGTTGCTTCACAGAAAACTCCACCCTCTGAAGTTTGGATGTTCTCCCTGTGAATACCCTGACTACCCTGAATTCATTAAGTGGAACAAGATGGATGATGGGATGTATGTTAACTCTCAAACTCTACAGCCACAACCAATCAATCCCCAGCTCCTGCAGCCCACGTGTATGCAAGATACATAACCTTCTCTGCCCCTCATGCATCCATCAGAGTTTGACTGTGTGTGTGGGGAAAAAGTGTTTATGCATAGATGAAAGCACTGTATGAAGGTGTGTGACTGGGGAATGAGCCTTGTAGTAGAAAGGCCCATTTACTGTGTTAACTGAACCCTAACACTAGATGGATTTCTAGAGACCTGGTGGATGCTAAGGTTCTAGAATACTGCAACAACAAACACTGATATGTGCTGAAGGAAAAGCCACTTGATAGCATTCACTTTACCAAATGACCTTATAGACTGTGTATTATTTTGTTTCTCTTTGTACCGATTTTCTCTCTGCGTTTTAATAACTTGTGCGCATTTTTAATCTCTTTATAGTCATTTTGTTTCTGTGAAGATGTCTGAAATGTTGTTGCGTTCATTATCTGTAGTTTTAAACGTCACTGTAGCCATTTTGTCATTTTCCAAAACAGTTTGGATGCTGCATAAAATGTGTCAGTCAAAACAGCATGTACTGATTTGAAAATCTCATAAACCCACATTTTATTTAGGTTGTAGCTTTTCCTGCTGTTGCTTTGTACTGTTCTGGTTGTATGTCATTCCTTCAATTCATACAGGTATTCTCACACTAACATATACACAGTATCACATTTTCATTCTGGTTAGAAGGGGTGGAGCTTCTTCACATGTGAATATCCCTGCCAGCTTTGTTTCTGTTATTACAGCAAATCGCTGATAAGTATCTGTTTAGTGTAATCAGAAGAAACTGTAGCTACCAACAGATGCTTCCATGTGGTGCCCAGCATGTAGAACACGGTATGCAGCGAGTGCACTGTAGCCTCTTGTTCTAAGGCTGCTTGCATTTCCCGTTTCCTGCAGCTCAGCCCATTCCTGTGACTCCATGTACTCTGCTTCCTCCCATTCTTTGATTCTTCATTTGTGACTTCAGAAAAGTCACAACAAGAAGTGTTTCAGTATTCTCTAAACCACATTAGAAATGCAATTTCAGGCCCACAGACAGGTAAAAATAAGCTCCACAGCTCGGCTGCAGACACTGTGAGTATTTATGGATTGAGTCTATTCTTTATATCCTGATATCTCAAATGGGATAGGAACACTGATTGTATCCGATAAAAAACTATTGTGTATCTAAAGGTCGTAACAATTAAGATAAGTCTAGTGGTTCTGTTTGCATTTGGCCTCATGCACTGTCCTACTGTAGAGCTTCAAAAATATATTCCCCTTGAAAAACAGTAAAAATATTTGTTGTTTGTCTTTATTTTTAATGATGCTCTCAATTTGAGAATTACTGAGTGATGAACGAATCGATTTACAGCTCAAAGTCAAATCCGTTTTATTGTTTTGTTTTTTAAATCGTGATTTCTTCTGTGCACTTGAGTTGTTTTACTCTGCATATCTATATTCTGCATTGTATTAATAAATATAGAAATGCAGACCAAGTTTGATTACCTGGTTTAAGAAACATTTCTGTATGGGGCGCCGTTTGTAAAGTGAAACATGCTGAAATTAACGGCAACATTTTTCCACATTTAGCTCAAAACCTTACAAAAACATATTTTTTCGAGTAATTTTTTACAACATTTAGTAAAATATTTGTAACTTTTCATCAAATGTTAAATATTAAATCTAAATATTATATTTAATAATAGAAATATTCAGTGGACAGCTGACACGGCACACCACCGAACAAATGTATCTTCTCCCGCTGAGCTTTTGCGTGAACTCTGCACTTTATCCTCAGACATGAAGGTAAATAAATTGACTGCATTCTTTCAGGCACTTTTTTCGAGAAGTCTTGGCAGTATGAAAAATATGAGACTTGTAAACTTGAAGCTTTTGAAGTAAATAAGACATATTGTATTTAATTTGCTGTGCTTGAAGCGGATTTATTTTATTTGGCCTTAAGTTGTAGCCTCACAATGAGCGCACTTGTTAGAAACAGGAAGGCATGCAGGGCAGCTGATTATCAAAAGTGTGTGTGTGTGTGTGTGTGTGTGCTGAGATTAAGCTTTGCGTCACTGTTCATTCAGCGACCAGCAGACAAACTGGATCTGCAGCTTATTTCTTTGCTTTTTGTTCCCTTCAGGCTAACATGGCTGAAACACACAGTTTGACAGCAGCGCAGGGCAGGAAGGTAAGTGACCACAACGATGAAGCAGAGAGGGGACACAGAGACGAAGCAGGCTGACAAACTACTTCATTACTTCCCGTTTCTGATTTCGATCTATTTCTCAGGTGGCTGTTTAGACACAACCTAAGCTTTCTTGGCTTTGAAAACTATCAACCTGTTCTAGTACAGGTAGTTTTAAAATGGCAGAAGTAAGTAAAGCGACTCTTCCGCTTAGAGCCACCAAAATAAAGGCCCAATGTTTGCTTGTTTTTTAAAAATAAAAATAAACACACGCGCACAAAGAAAGAAAAATAAAACTAATACAATCAACTTAAGTCTTATATCGAAATTATATTATGGTTATCCCATATTCCAACTTTACTTTTCCAATATCAGTTCTTGAGCAAGTTAATAATTGGTTTAACAATACGCGTAGAAGGGTTGATGGTCGTGAGAGAAGAATCAAACTATTATTCAGCTCCGGTCTGTAAAAATACTCACTTCATTCTTTTCTGGTAAATTATAAACTGCGCTGGCTTATAACATGAAAAATAAATTCATCCGCTGCCTTTCAAGTCTGTGAATTTCACCTAAATCAACTGAACATGTAAATTGCTCGTAAGTGAGCTTCTGATTTGTTATTACGAAGTTTGTAGCATGAGTTCAAATCTGAAGCTTATATTTTGAAGGTCAACTTCAACTCAAATAGCTTCCTGCCTTGTTCACGCTTTGAGGGCACGTGATCAAACTGTGACCTATGCTTTGACTTCATTCGGCCAGCAGGAGTGAAGTAAATACCAAGCTTTCTATTGTAAACCGAAATAATTGTCTATGTAATTGTGATGTATT